GAAAAAAAGAATTGTTGCTCTACATAAAGATGGCGTAGGCTATAAGAAGATTGCCAAGACCCTGAAACTGAGCTGCTGGTGGCCAAGACCATACAGCGGTTTAACAGGACAGGTTTCTCAGGACTTCAGTGTTGTCACATGAAAAGATATAATAAAATATTTACAAAAATGTGAGGGGTGTACTCACTTCTGTGAGATACTGTATATTCTTTTTCTTACATGCTCACTGCAGCATATCTGTGGATGTATAGTAACAAGTGTCCTAAATATCACTCGCTTTACCTTTCTTGTCAAAATAGGTGGTACGTGGCTGCAAACAACCTCTGGGCTCACAAGCTACTGAGATACAACTACACTTCAGCAGAGCTGTTCACATATCCATTCTGCTTGCCAAAAGCTCCTGCATAATTCAATCCGAACATCAACTTATGCACCTGGACTTACCAATAGGAGCCAAATCTCCCCCTTCCTACTTCCATTCTTCCTACCTACCTCAAAACTTATCAAGGAAGTGACTGCAGCACCGTACAGATCTCCAACTGGGTGCACAGCTGTGCACCATCCCATTGTGAAAAGAGAAGTAAATAAAGAACTCTTGTTCATAGAAAACACAAGGCCTGAGAGGTTTCAGTAATAAACATCTGCAACGTCTGGTCTGAAGAATTTGCGAGCACAATGTGGAACTAACCAATTGTTCCAACCAAAAACAAAATCTCCTCAAACTTCAGTCTTCTCACCCTCTTTTCATGTTCTTCCCTTATCTTTCGGTCAGGACCTCTGTAGTTGTGGGGGTCAGATCAGAGGGCAGGAGAGGAGGCATCAGATAAGAGCACACAAAGAGGTCGCCGACTGATTTAACACACTGTTAACACTCCTTCACTTTCTCTAATGGAAGTCTTTCATGTGCTGGCTATGTGCATGTTTGTTTTAGATGGTGGAAGGGGGCTAAATGTTATGGCACGCTGCTATAGACCGACAGCATGTAAATCATGGGCTCTTCTCCTTGACGGCAGAGATAACATGGTGGGCAGATGGGGATGTAAAAACTCTAATGTAATTAAGATACCCTGCCTAACCAGGCAAAGAAGGAACTTTACACTATTTTCAAGACAAGGTCAGTACAGGCTGCATCTTTCAAGCCCCAATTAGAATAGAAGAACACCATAACATGTTGTCTATATGACAAACTTGTTTATAAAAGTCCTCTTTTTGTCTTCCATAGAAGAAAGTAAATCATATGAGTTTGGAACGACCTCAGGGTGAGTAAACAACAAATGTGAAAGATTAATTTCACATTCATTGTATTTGTATGGAAAAGAGTGACCAGGACATTCTTCTAAATTTCTGTTTTATGGAAGAAAGAAAAACAAATGAGCTTGGAAAGAGGGTAAATATTGACAGAATTTCCATTACTGTGTAAACACTCTGATATGAAGTGTTTCTGAAGCATTTATAGCCGACCTGAGGCTGAGTGGAGGACAGGCCTCCAGCTGTTTACAGGACGGAGATGAGTCGAAGACAGATGAACCACAGCACATGGAGATGAAAAGAGAGGAGATGGAGGAAGAGGAGGAGGGACCAGAGTGTAGAAATCCTTGGAAGGGATGAAAAAAAAAACCTGATGCAGAGATGTGGAAGAGGTCCAGGGAAATCATCTGAACGCTGTCTCAGGGCTAATGACATCTTCTTTTGCTCTCTTTCCTCTTCCTATTTCGATTTTATGTGAAAGCATAGATAGACATTGTCTAATGCATATTAGCCAGTTGAAGATTTCAGGAAACACGTATTTCGCATACGTGCAAACTTTGGCACTGTGGACTAAATACCCCCTCATATCTACAATCATCTGGGAGACATACCAGGAATATTAAAAAAAAATGCAAACATTTACTCAATGCTACTGTACAGATGAAAACTATCATTATAATGGAGTATGTTATGGGTATGTGAGCATGTGTAAAAAGCTGGAACTGGGAAACAGGCTAGAAAAAACAAGTGCTGATAAAACAGCAAAAGCTGCCTTAATGGCAAAGTACAATCTAGATTTTCATTTTCAGAGGAAAAAGTGCACTGCAGTGTATGTTCCACTTCAATGCTAAATGTTGTTATATGGTTGCTAAGTATTATATTTAACTAACAACATAAAAAAATTTACTTGAGAAAAAAAAACATTTACTGAAATAAAATTTTAAAAAAAACTTTGATTTATTTTATTTCAGCCAGTTGGCAATTTTTCTAATTTTTATTTAATTTAATTTACTAAAATGACTAACATTATAATGGAGTATGTTATGGGTATGTGAGCATGTGTAAACAGCTGGAACTGGGAAACAGGCTAGAAAAAACAAGTGCTGATAAAACAGCAAAAGCTGCCTTAATGGCAAAGTACAATCTAGATTTTCATTTTCAGAGGAAAAAGTGCACTGCAGTGTATGTTCCACTTCAATGCTAAATGTTGTTATATGGTTGCTAAGTATTATATTTAACTAACAACATAAAAAAATTTACTTGAAAAAAAGAAACATTTACTGAAATAAAATTAAAAAAAAAACTTTGATTTATTTTATTTCAGCCAGTTGGCAATTTTTCTAATTTTTATTTAGTTTAATTTACTAAAATGACTAAAAATAGAAATGAAATAAAATGTATAAAAAGTAGACTTATTTAAACAATAAATAATAAGAATGACAAAAACAAGACAAAATGAAAATGAAAATGGAAAACATAAAATAATCAAAGATATGAATAACTCTATAATAGTTCTCCATGATACTAAAATAACACTGGATAAGATGTTCTGAGTGGTTGCTATGTAGTACTGATCGGTTGTGTACCTCACGGACACACGGACGCACCGGTCTCTCAACATAAGGTGGTGTAGTAAAGAAGATAACGATCCAAAATTTTGAATGCGTGTTGTTCGTGTGAAAGGAGTTGAATTTCCACACAGGCCTCTATTGCTTTTCAGCCCTGTCTGATCTAGAGTTCCTCTTTGATGTGAGCTGAGAAACAGGAAGTGCACGCTGTCCCAAACATCATATTCTCAGAACAAGCAAAAAAATGAGAGAGGACACACAAAGACACTGTCACATGGACACGGACCAATAAATGTAAAAGGGTACCTACATTTACCTGGCCATCTTGCCCAACATGTACTTGGTGGATCTGTAGGTTGCCCTGCAAGACAGGAAAGGCATAATTTCAAATTTCAGCAGTTGCCAGTTTCCATGAATGAAGTACACATTTCTTTTTTAAAGCATCAGAGCACTTTCATGCAGACAGGGATTTCTGTGTTTAAAAAAAGTGGTGGAATGGGAAAAAAGCAAAGTCTATAGACAATTTTTTTTTTTAAGTTTGAACTTGAGCGTGATGTTTTTATAACATTGTGTAATGTGTAATGGTAAAAAAATGCACGTTTACAAAGAAAAACAATGGAAATGCAAAGCAGTGGAATGCAAAAGTGTGTTGCCTTAGATGTACAATTTTTTTTAAGTTTTTGTTGCAATGACTATTAAATATGGATCATCTAGCATCAAATTAAAGTAGCATCAAATGTTTATAACCTCATTCTTTAAATGGTCATTTTGGCCTCTCCCATCTCAGAGGTCTTGACATTCCAACTTTATCTAACAATTCATATGAACATGTCAAATTTTTTAGACAATCTGTGGAATGTATATTCAATTAATTCATCAGGGAAAAAACTGCTGCACCACAACAAACTTTCAATCATGTTCTCCATCTGACTGTAAAACACACACACACACCTGACAAATATCTAGCTAAAGGGAAATGATCTTACGATGGCTCATTTCCTTTACAAACTCTTCCAGATAAATGGTTTTAATGAGGCGCGCCAAATATATTACAAAGACAGTCTTTGTGAGTGGAGGCTGGATGAAGTGGCACGCTGTTGCTAAGCTCTGGACTTAAAAACAAACAATATTACTGAGAATTTACCCAAAAAATGAGCACTGAAAGTCATCATCAATTTTTTTTATAAACCAGCACAGGAAGAGCTTTTGAGCATTTTTTATTCTCTTCTCCTCCCTCATCTCTCTTCTTTCCAAGATGATGGCTGGATTTGATCAAAATAATGATTACATATATGCGGATACCTTTACATAATCCTGCTTAAATCTAGGACTCGGAGTACTCAAGAGCCTTAGAAATAGTGCTTTAGAGAAATATCTCTGCCAAAGATCATAGTAAAACTGGTAGGTCAGGAATAATTATGGATAGGTGGTGAGGTTTGATGGCCTGTGTCTTTGTGACCTTTATATGGGAAACACAAATGAGGGGATGGAGAGCCTCAGAGGAAGAAGAAGAATGAGAGACTGAAGGAACAAGAAATATAAAGGAAATTATGCTCACCTCGCTGTCCTGCGTGATCTGCACCTGTTCGCCCTGTGGCACCTGAGCAATGTGGAGGTGTCCCTGCGGTATCTGGGAACGAAAAAATATCCAAATGAATGTAATTTCCAATCAAGCTGTTGTCAAATAATTATGTCTGACAATTTAAAGTGTGCCAGTATTATTTAACCGTGTGTATTTAGGATACATAAAATGCTAGCTTTGAAATTAGCCATAGCAAGACAAAAAGTCATAAACAGACAAAATATATATACATTAGCAGTCAGAAGTTTGGAATAATTCAGATTTTGAATGTTTTTGAAAGTCATGCTCTCCAAAGATGCATTTATTTATAAAAATACAGTAAAAACAGTAATATTGTAAAATATTATTGCAATTTAAAATAACGTTTCTCTGTGAATATATTTTAAAATGTATTTTATTCCTGTGATGCAAAGCTGAATTTTCAGCATTATTACTCCAGTCTTCAGTGTCACATGATCTATCAGAAATCATTCTAATTTGCCGCTCAAGAAACATTTCAGATTATCAGTTTTGAAAACAGTTGTGCTGCTTCATATTTCTGTGGAAACAATGACACAAGTTATTTTTCAAGAATGTTCAGAAGATGTATAAAAGTATTCATTTCATTTCTTTCTTAAAAAAAAATAAAAAATAAAAACTTACACCAAACTTTTGAATGGTAGTATATCATGGTTTCCACAAAAAAAATAAAAATTATAATAATAATTCAAAGTTAAATCACTAATGAAGTGAATTTTGGTATTTTGACTTGTCAACCATTTGAAACTAAAACACCAAATTGACCAATAATTACAATGCAATGATGCATTACATTGGCGGCTTTCAAAGGCGTCTTTCAGTAGAGTGTTTACTGTATTTAATTATTATAACACGCCAAATGTATCATGGTTAACCTTGGAAGACTTTTCAGTCTCATGTTTCTTGGTAGTTCAGTACTGTGGTATAGAAATAACAAATTTTTCCACAAATAATGTGACGTGTTCCTAAACATTTGATATTATTGGTTTTGTTAATCAGATTTTTCCTCCACTGCTTTCCCAAAATTCTCATGAAAAAAAAAACAAGTCTAATTTAGGAAAGTTTATAACAAAAGCTACACGAGCGATCATTCAAAACCTAAAAAGAGCATGTCATTGTTTGCCGTATCTGACAGGCTAAATTTATCGATTATGTGCGAGTGACAAAAACTGAACATTTGCCGGAGCCAAACGGCTTGACAAAAGCTGACCATTGAGTTGTTGTCTATTACGGTTCGGTTCAGGGAGATGTTACACAAACAACAGATGACAGATCCGTTTCTGAGTCCACTGATGCCAAGAACTCCTCCGCAGATTTAACTCTCTTGATTGTTCATTGTGTATTTAGGGTTTTGATTGTGCTGTCACAACAGTAAGCAGATCATATTTCGGATGGTGTGTTGGGGTGGAGGTGACCTCATGCAGCTGTGAGAGTCAGAGATCATGTTTAGGTCCTCAAAAGAGAGTGCATGATGGGGCACAGCGGAAACTCTGCTGCTAAAGCTGCATTAAAACGCTTTATGGGATCAGCCTTTCCTCTGAGCACCAGCACTCAAACAGAGTTCTGGAGAGCGAGACCTTCTTACAGAGATCAGGAGATGTTTGAGTGTGTTTATGTGTTTGCCTGCGCAGCTGAGACAGATTTGAGATGAATGGGTATGTATGCATTACGGTACGAGATGTGTGGTCTTGCAAATACATTAATTTAAGCCAGATATTTACATTTGGTGAAAAAAGTGGTGGTTGTCTGTGCCAGATTTGGCAGTGGTTACCAAGGTGGCGCTACATGGTTGCTAGGGTGTTCTGGGTGGTTGCTATGGCATTGCTAGCTCTCTGCACACTGGTCTAAGTCAAAAGAGCCCACCCTCAACTCATTTACAGGGTACTGAACCTTTTTTAGGGCCGAGAACATCTTAATTTGTGCTCACATTGTAAAGGCATTTAAATTATTATTATAAAATAACAAAATAATATAATTATTACGAACAGAGTCATGTACTTGACACTGTACTTTTAATTGTAATTCATAAATATTTATTATTTTACTTTTATTAGTAATAGAATTTTAGCTAAACTTTAGCTTTGGATTAACTTTTACAAAAGTTAAATTTTTGGCGAATATTAGTTCAAACAGATGGAACGATAGATAGAACGATAAATAGAAAGATAAAACGATAGATAGATAGATAGATAGATAGATAGATAGATAGATAGATAAATGGAATCATAAAACAATAGATGATAGAGATAGATAGATAGACAAACAGACAGACAGACAGACAGATAGATAGATAGATCAGAAGGAACATGTCATTTCTCACTAGCGAGGTAACAACAACGCTGTTGTTGGAGCACAAACGTTGGATGAGATGCGTGAGAAATGAATCCTACAAACAAAAGCATTTTAAGGAAAAAAAAACGGATGAATGTCTTGAAATACAACATCTGAACAATGTCTTGAGGTGTTCTAACTCCAGACTATTATTAGAAAATAATGCACACCCGAGGTGGTGATGCACCCACGACGTCAAGCGGTTCGTCTATCTATCTGTCATTATTTTCTAATAATTCAACGGCCCATCGTCAATTATTTGTGTGGGTTGGCCTTTTTGATGATGACGATGATATGACGATACTCACAACTTGCACCTGCCCGTCTTCTCCAATACGGTGGATCTGGACTTGTTGTGTGGCTCCAGCCAGCGCGTAGTGCAAGGCCTGCTGGGTAGAGGTCTCGATAGCTGACGTCTCTGCGGCCGAGACTCCATCTGTTCGAGGACACACATAAACAAGTTCATAACACAATCCAACTATGTGGGTCAAAAAAGAAACTAGGGAGACTGGGTCAAACCGTGTCAAACAACTGCTTTCAATAACAGAAGATGCTCCACTGTAACTGCCAAACACACACACACACACACACACACACTTAAGCAAGGCAAGAGATAAAGAGAGAGACCACAGTCTGTCCTCCATCATGATTTCGGTGTAATCAGACGAACGCCCATGCGCTCACACAGCCGCAGGTCACATAGTCTGAGATATTTGTACGAATGTGAACGTGCGCAAACCCAAACAAATGTAGAAGAGAATGTACGATAAACAAGGTTCTCACAGGCAGAGAGAAGTGGAAGAGTTCGCATACACACACCCTGAAATTGAGGAAAATCCCTTCCGACTGCTGCTGGACGGGATCCAGTGCATCTGCTAGATTACAGAGTGTTTATACAGCGTAAACGATCTCAAAATACACAACAAGGGCTCTCGACCCAGCAGCCCAAACGCACTCGTGCCCTAAAACCGTACGTAAACCCAACCCCTCAGTCTAAACAACGAGAATTACCCACATGCTACAACAGCCCAGACGCTTAAAACACACACTCACCGCATTTCTGATGAAAGGTCGTCAAGTTGTCTCTGGAAAAACGTTGCGGGTATTCATTTACAAAGTTGGAGTGATTTTAAATCATAGAGAAGGGCATATTAGCAGGCTAACATTTCTTGGAGGAAAAAGCACCAAATGTGACAACGCCGTACTATTAGTTTTCCCAGACGCAAAGTGATCTGAGACTACGTTGGGTCTTCCCAAGGTTGCGTATGAAAAGTAAACCGGATTCAATTTTATGCATCTGAAAGACCTCCGGAGCAATTTGTCCTTCAGCTTGCTAGTTTTCGCTTCTTAGCTGCTATCGGTTTAGCAATGCCCATGTAAAACAAAAACAACTGTGTTGGACAATTAAAAACACGGCATGATAATGTGCCTGAAGATGGTTGTTTGATGAAAATGCTGCAACTTATTATCCAATACTGAATTTTTTTTGTGGCCTGACAGTTAGCATACATGCTAACAAACATGGTATGGCAAAGTTAACAAAAGTTTTAAATAAAACTATTGATAATTCTACAACAACTATCAAAAACATGCTTGTGTGTCTGAAGCTGATTGCTTGTCAAAAATGCTGTAGTTTATTAAATATACTGAATATTTTTTGGCAGTTAGCACACATGCTAACAAGCATGATATGTTAATCTTAGCAAATGTTGTTAAATAAAAGAGTCCTGATAATTCTACAATGACAATCAAAAACAGCTATGATAATGTGTCTGAAGATGGTGACTTTATTAAAAATGTTGCATCTTATTAAACATGCTGAATTTTGTTGGTTTTGTGGTCTGTTAGCACACATGCTAACAAACATGGTATGGTAATGTTAACAATTTTTTTTTTTAAATAAAACTGCTTTGATAATTCTACAATGACAATCAAAACATTGTAATATAAACTGTGTGAAAGAAAGTAGTTTGTTTTTGTTGAGTCCTTGTTTTTTAGAAGCTAGTGTACATGCTTAAAATATATGTTTGCAAACGAAAATGGCTATTTGACCTAAACATCATTGCTTATTCAAACGAAGAATTTTTTCAGATCCATGGCCTAGTGGTTAGTGCACATGCTTAAAACATGATAACATATGCCAACAAATGTGGTCATCTACCAAATTTGAATTCTTGTTCTAACGTTAAACAAACATGCACTTCGCATGGTCATGAAAGGTCTGCAAACAAACGTAGACTGATAATTTATCGAAACATTTCCAATTAGTAAGCATAAAATATTTACATACATATTCTTGCAGTTATCAACCATGTTAGCAAAAAACAAAAGTCTCATTTTGATTATTAATAGGGCTGGGATGATAAATCGATTTTCAGAATGCATCGCGATTCCTCTGGAATCGATTCTGAGCTTAGATTTTAACAGCAGATGGCACTCTAATCTAGTTTTTATCCGCACGCTCAAATGCTCATGAAGAAGAGTGCTAAAGAGCGCTTTGTGCGTTCGGCTGAGTCTTGTAATTTCACCTCACCTCAGAATGCTTTTATGACGCGAGATTAATGTAAACACAGCCCACTGTGAACACCCTTGTAATTCGCTTCAACCTTTTCGAATTTTATGAATGATTATTTTAGGTTCAAGTGTGTGTAAGGATTTGGAAACAAGCAGAGTACGGCTGTTTCTAAAGCATGCAGTGCCTTCTGCTATTCAAAACTAAGCTCAGAATCGATTCAAGAAAGAATCGCGATGCATTCGGAAAATCTCAAAATCGATGCTGAATCATTTCTCGATTTTCCCAGCCCTAATTATTAAATATTCAAAATTTCATGGATCCATGGTTTAAAAGTGAATGAATATAGTATGGCAACATATGTAAAAGAATATGATCATTTGACCAAACAGTTGCTATTAATTAAATATAGAGAAGTTTTGAAAATGTCATGTTCTAGCAGTTAACGCACATGCACTTGGTATTGTATAGTTTGGTAACATTGTAAATTGTAAATGTCGCTTCATCTTTGTCGCTTCTTAAATGTAAAGTATTTATTTCAGATTTATGTAGGGTAAGCAGTTTTGGAGAGGCTAGCAATAGCAAGCTAGCTTTGAAAGCATAAGATCCCACCCTCCCTGCAAATCCCTCTCTAAAGCCACTCCTCCAAAACACATGATCCCAGACAGATCAGCGGCTAACCAGCGACACGATGAGAGACGGCGTTGGTGGAGGATTGAATGCAAACGTTGTCAGATTACCTCACGTCTCATTCACCGGTGAGAAAACATTACAGTACAAAGTGCATAATATTACAATAATAACGCCTTCCATTCTCGCTCGGTCAGGAATAGTGTAATGGAACGCGCTGATGACGTATCATGTCTGCGTGAACAGGATGCGCGGAGGTATGCAAATACATATGTTGACAGGCAGGTAGAACAGCCTATCGTAGTCCTCGGACTGAGGAATATGATTGGATGAACATTTTATAGTCCTACGCCTTCCACAGACGATATAAATAAATTTAGACATCTTAACTTAGTGATTGCTATATTGGGATGTGAAGAGACTTTCATCCAGCATAACAAAAAAGGGTTTTGAACCAAATTACCTACCCTGCCTTTAAAGTATTTTAACAGATAAAAATCACATCAGCTTTAAAGTAGAGGTCTGTGCGGGACTGTTTTTTTAGTCAGATCTCGTTTCCAGAATCTCACATTTAAATTTCCGCTACTGAAAGAAAGAGAGATGGGCTAACAAATAAAAGTGTAGTCTGCACAAAATTGTATTTATATAATTTGTCTTGTCAAGAGTCTTGAAGTTAGTGACAGCAACTGCTGCCAACACAGTAGGGGAAAAAAAAGTGTCACAGAGAAAATAAAAATGTTGTACAAAAATTGTATTTCTTATTTTTATTCGTCTTGTCAAAATACTAAATTCGTTTAACATTTTGCTGTACACAGTAGGAAAAGTGTCGCAGAGAAAAATAAATAAATAAATAGGCTACGACATCTGTCATTTAAAATGCTAGGCTAAGCAAAATATAAACAAAACCGAGTTGAACGTCCTTCAAGGACAGCGCAGCCACACTTTGCTCCATCCTTATTCTACTCTGTCACTCATCGACAACCTGCCTGTTCTGTCTGAGGACCGTATTTACCACCGGTAGGCTACAGCCTGCTCTGAGTGTTAGTCACATGCTGCGCACAGACCTCGCAAATAAAATGCTTGACTCAGAAAGCGCTGGTTCATGCATGCATAACAGTCCTGAGTGCAGGCTGTACCAGTGGTCAATAAGAATAAAGGACAGACATGTTGTTATGAAAGGACGTCGGGAACGAGATATTGTTAGACCGCCCGCTCCCGTTCAAGTTACACCAGAGTTACCGACCGCTACCACGTTTTATTCGGGAATTTAATCCCGCATCGCAAGAAATCTGGTCAGAATGCAGACCTCTACTTTAAAGCTGTAAATTTGCAAATATATACAGAATTTTGCAAGCTATGGCAGAGTGTGCGGCTTATTTTCTCCATGCCTACTCATCAAAAATAAGATATTTTTGTTCTCAGATGGAAACACTTGTTGTTGCATTAGCAACAGACCACATGTTCTTCTCGCTCTGGTTTGAAGGAAGGCTGAGCACCAGGTGGCTTGTTCATAAGCCAATAGTTCTACCACGCAGGGAGGCCTATTCCAGTTGGACATGGACAACCGAAGGAGGTGAAGCAATCGTAAGTGTATGGACCATTGTGACGGACCAAATACAGGACATTTGGGTAAGTCCGAAACGGGTCAAAGGTGAAGGCCCGCGGATCTCTGAGAGGAAGGGACAGGACGTGAGGCGTTGTCCTGAGATTAAAACCAGCTGTTAGATGAGGAAACATCAGTCACAGAGTATCTCTCGCACACACAAACATATGTGTGTGAATAAACACTTGTGTGCAACGTACACATGACATTTGCGCGAATGGATGTGAGGTTATGTACATAGCTAGTTCATAGCTAGTTCTCTCTCATACACTCACTTGCAGCATATGTTTATGTTCAATTGAACACAAGCCAGCTGCGGCCTAGACACTTAGCATCAAAATCAAAGAGAAACAGGGCTCGTAAGTTTGGCAAGAGACAAAATTGGCTGGAAAGGACGTAGGGGTTCATACCTGGGCTGCTCTGCGAGGCGGGGGTTCGTCGTGAGAAACTCTTAACCGCCAAACTCTGTCCTCGCTGCTTCCGGCGCCAAGCGGTGCGACACTTGGAGTCGATGCTCTGCTTGATGCGGTACCAGTCGGACTCTGTAATGGTGAACTTGTGGAACAGGTGACCTGGTTACACATGGACAGAGACATTGCAAGCATAATAAAATCAGTCAGGAAATAAGGGAGCAAACACTGACATAATATTTAGTCATAGATTTATGCTGCAAGCAAATAAACTCTTTGCACTCACTGAGTTGAGTTCATTCATGTTAGCGACTGTCAATTGGTGTTTGTTCGTGCAAAACTGCATGTAACATTCCTCGTATTTATAATTATCCACACCAGCTCATTTCTCGATGTTACTTATGGTTTGTTGCACGAATTGACCTACATAATGACGTGACGCGAGTTGTTGTGAATGACAGGAGCGGTTATAAGCACTTCTAATTAGCTCATGTGGAGAAAATAAGTCTGATGCCGGATGAGGCAGAACCGCAGCTGAGCTACTTGAATGATTTAAATTAGACAGGACAGAACTGAGATTAATTAAACTGACTCATATAAACTGAACTGATACAGTCAAAAATCTGATCTGTCACAGAGAGGCTTGGAACAAATAAGTCTTCAGAATACATATAGATTACAACGTACAGTACGTAAGGCACTTAAACCAATGTAGTTACTAACTGGCTGCTCGTACAAAAACATAAACAATCATTAACCGTCAAGGAATCACAAGAACTGCGATTACCATATTGTAAATCATACTTATTTTGTTCTTCTGGAGGTATTGTTCAGACTTACATCGGATGCCGTAGATCATGAGCGGGTCCAGCTGTTTCTTGCCGTGCTTCCCCTGTCCGGAGAGGTTGGAGACGGCCTGCACCTCGCGGTGGAACAGGTAGTCCAGCAGCGTCAGGGCCAGTTTCTCTGCCGTGCGACAGTTGGTGCTGATGTGCAGCATGTCCGCTGGAGATACCGGACAGCGCACGCGCATCTCAGGGTTGTTCTCATCACCCAGCCACGTTCCTGCCGGATAGTCCTCTATAGAAGGAGGAAAATAAACACTAATTACAAAAATGTTGTTCCAAATGTACACAGTTTTCCCATGTTCATAAGTAACTTGTCACTGTAATTTATTAGAGTTATGTAACTATGAAGCTGTCTGACAGAAAACTAGTGTTACTTACAAATCCAAAAATGTATATATATATATATATATATATATATATGTGTGTGTATAACTCTGTATATACGTCTGTTGCTTTCATGATGCATTAGATGCTCATCAGGGTCAGTATGAGTCCTATTTTTTTTCTTAGAAAGTTTTGCTAGAAATGTGTATTTTACAGATATTATATTATATTATATTTGTCCAAATTAACACAGCAATGACGTATTACTATGCAATGCATATTACTAATCAAAAATTAAGTTTTGATATATTTATGGTAGGAAATGTACAAAATATCTTCATGGAACATGATCTTTACTTAATATCCTAATGATTTTTGGCATAACAGAAGAATCGATAACTTTGTCCCATAAAGTGTATTGTTGGCTATTGCTACAAATATACCCAAGCGACTTAAGACTGGTTTATATTATATTATATCATATCATATCATATTATATATTTGGGTTTGTCCATAAATTATTATTATTTTATCAATTTAAAAAAATCTTTATTTATTCATTAATTTATTTTTTGCATGGCAAAATACATTTTTATATTAAATTGTATTATATAAAAATAAATAAATGGATATAAATACCAAGTATATAAATATAACAAGCAAAATATAAATATTAGATGAAAAACCCAAATTAAAAATGTTGCTTTGGCAACTCACTGAAATAAAACAAGCTTAAGTTGAAGTACTAAAATGAAATAAAACTAAATTAAACATAAATATAAATATTTAATAAAAACTAATAAAAATGACTGAAGCACATAACACAATCTCTAAAACTTGAACCACAATTAAAAATGAAAACATAAAAAGCCAATTAAATATATCATGAATTCTATTTTAGTACATGAATAATACTAAAATAACACAGCTAATAATGGATAAAAAGAAAGATACACAACATTATTTAATTGCTTATTCAAATAGGTCCCATATTATATTTTACTAATTTGCAATTGCTTTTTGCAATGAGAATATAAATGTCAATTATTTTACTTTGTAAACATGTCCTTATAATATTTTTATTACGCAGTATAAATGTCTTTATATGCATGAAAATATTTAGTTGCCTTTATATTTTAGGAAGATGCACCTTTGCAGAGGAGCAGCATAGTTGATATTTAGCATCAAAAAGTTTGCAAACACCTGATCTAGACGGCAGATCACTGTACAAGACATTTGTCAAAATACGTGACTCTCACAAGGTGAAATGACATATTCAGGACTAGGGGAACAAATGAAGCATCAGCCATTGTTTTCAATATTAGCCTACTAGTAATCCCAAACATTTGTGGAGGGGTAAGAGCAAGTCCCTCAATGTCTGTGGAGGTTACAGACCTGAATTCAAAACACACTCCACGCTCAGAGCAAATGCAAGAGTGTCCCCTGGTGGACATTATTTGTCACTAAACAAACACATCACAAGAGCATTACTGGTTTAGACCACTTAGGAAAGAGACGCTTTCTTTATTTGGACAAAAATGCTGGCATGGCTGAAAATGATGATTGAAGTTCAACAGTGAGACCATCACATTTCTTCTTCACATAACTAAGATGCAAATTATTACATAACCAGGAATGTGTTCTCATCATGAGTGTAGGGCTGGGCGATGTCAAAAATATCTTTAAAAATATCGCGATATCCGATAATTTCGTCTACCTAAGCCCCACCTCCACCTCGCCCCGCCCCCGTCGAGAAAACATTGCCGACACGCAACATAAACACACACCATGTTCAGTTTGGTCTTAATTATTGCCACAAAGTTTGGTTTTACTTTTCTTAGTTTGGGCTTAAACTAACAGAAAACATTAGCTTTGCTGTTATTTTGGTGTTGCTAATAATTTCCACTCTGTTCTTATCAAATTTGTGTTTGAAATGAATTTAGTTTTGTGAGGAGAACTGTTGAGGAAAAATAATAGAACCCAATTTTAAGTTCATCATGGTGAAGTTGGACATTCTGGCGGTGATTGTAAGAATGATAAATGCATGTTGATGTCCTATAATCATGTCTTGAATAAAATATGCCTATTTTCCGATGTTTCTCTTTCTTTTTGGCATTATCGCTTTTTTATTAATCAAAATACAACGGCCACAATATAATATTCAGTGTTGGGCTGCCGAAACTCCAAACGCGTGCATGTTGAGGGGCGAGCTGAGAAGCTAATGTCTTCATCCGTTTGCAACAAAACTTTATAGTTTTGTTGCAAATTAATTAAGAATTTATAGTGCTATATATATCAGCTTAATTAAACATAATTATATTGTATACACGGTTTACTAAATCTGTAAAAATATTACACGGAAATGTGCGCTGAAGGAATTTGCGTATTTTAATTACCTGTCATGTTTGTGGTTTTTCATCATTATACAATCTGTTTAAATAAATATTCAGAAACACATGCAGTGCTACTTTTTGTATTTTTTCTGTTTAACTTTTATTAAACTGCAGATCAAAATAGAATAGGCCTAAACCCAAAATAAGGATAAATTATATTGGAACGCATCTCCAAAATAATCGCATACACAGATGCACGTTGCCATTACAGTAGTCAGCGCCGAACAACAGGCAAATAAAATTAAACTGAGGTTACAAAAGTGATTCAGTCAAGATCAGTGAGGGATTTTCTTTTCCTTTGTTCTTTGATTAACATTAATGACTGGCGGCAGCGGCTGCTGTCAATGCACGGATCCAATACACCCTTGTTTATATCAAAATTATATTTTGATATAATTCTGTGTGTATTTGTCCATTTGAATGTGTAAGAATGCGAGAAAGGGAGGACAGTCCAGTGTTCGCGTATATAAGAGGCGGCTTTTGTGCGTGCGTTTTGTGTGTGTGTGTGTGAGTGTGTGTGTGCAGCACAGAAAACAGCGCGCGAGCGCAGAAGCGAGTTCTATTTCGTCTTCTTAGTTGAATCTTTTGAAATCACAAAAAAAGCGCAAAAAGAAATTGAGACGCAGAATAGAAATGTATAATTTTATAACAAGTAATTTGATTCCTGACATTATGCATCTGATCTGATTTCCGAAATTGGAATAGCTTTTCAATGCCCAACCCTCCTACTAATTATTTCATTCTTGCATGCAAAAAGACCTGGTGACTATGGGGCTATGTAAAATATTTTTTGCAACTTACTAGGTTTGTCATTTGTCATTTTTATCCGATAATGTCGATAATCGTCTGATACCTGACTGTTGACATCGACATCGCGATACTTACGAGACATCGTCTATATACGATAATATCGTCATATCGCCCAGCCCTACATGAGTGCTCTCAAGAAAAATACTGTAACTTGTGGCATAATTTGTCTCAGAAATTATTTGAATTGGCATTTCTGTTAAATGTTTGTATGAGTAGTGCGTGCCAAGCACTGCTTCGGCTATAGCTTGATGGGGTTTATTGCTGGTCAGTTAAGGCTTATCATGGAACGTGGATTTCTGTGTCTCGTCAAAGCAGGCATGTAAAAATTATGTTAGGGAGTCAAATGTGTCAAAATATTATAATATAACATATTTACATTTTCATAAGTTCGATGCAGCAAAACAACTATTCTGTAATATAATAATAAAATAAAATTTTCTAGCAAAACAAAATCAGTTCTCCCTATGTGAGTTTTTCAATCACAGGCAGCTGTACACGTTGGCCATGTATTTAATAATTTAAATTAATTTAATTTAACTACTTAATTAATTTATCTAAAAAAAAAACACACATTTCTAGCTAATAAAATTAAATAAAAAATATGTAGCCTATATAAACTGAGGAGAAAAACTCAAGTCTTTGTATAACATTTTCACACTTTTAAACCAGACAGAAAAATATTTCAAATTTTGAATATTTTAATGTAGCAAAACAATTTTTAACATTTTGTAATATAATATGATATTATATACTATTAATTATTTTGGTATGGAAAAAAAATAATGATTATTGACAAATAAATTGGTAAATTAATAATTAATTTATCAACAAACACAAATGTTTGTCATGTTTGTCATATAATAGCCAGGAAAATATTTAAAATATTTGAATGTAGTGAAACAATTGTCAATATTTTTAGTTATTTATTAGTTAAATAACTTTTAATTAAATAAATGTACTTTAGCAAGCAAAACAAAAAACAAAAAACAAAAATCAAAATTTTTTCCCCAATGTGAATCTCTCAATCACAAGAAGCTGTATAATACAGCCACTTTTTAAATGTATGGTATGGTCACATGACAAAAATGCTGCACTGTTTACTAGATTAAAGGGATGACACATTTCACCCCACTCCCCTACATCAAAATGATGGTAGAGGTTAAAGCAAGGGGAAAACAACCCAAACAAACAAAAGCAAAGCCTTTAAAGAACCAAATGTACCATTCGTTGACTAAATATCATCACGAACAGCTGCGAACAAGTGAATATTTGTGGAGGAACGTCTTTGAACAAACCAAGCTAACCCAGACGCCACTCCAAAACAACCCAGTCAAATAATGAGAAAAGCAAAAGCAGAAGTTAAGCAATCAAAACAAACCCTTTAATCCCAGACCTCCTCCAGACCAAAGATACATCCCTGAATCACAGACGGCCAGACGCTTACACAACACACAAGGGTTACTGGTGTAACGAACTTTGTTTGAAGTAATAGTGGATAGTCAAAACATGTTTATATTATTAATCAATAATAGCAGAGTACACTTTGATTTTACTAACCGGAGCCTATTGTTCTCTGTTCACACTTCTAAGATTTCAAGGATTTTCCGCTACATTTTTATGCTTAAATGTTACCCAACCACAGAGACAAAACACATGAAAATACATACGAGCCATAAACATGCTATTATCTTATTTGTGCAGATGCATTTCTAAGATTTCCATGTCTTCAAACCTTTTCAATGATTGTTTAAATTTGTTGCTCTTCTTGTGAGGCCATGTTTGTGCTGAACTCAAAACAAATGGTTCCCACTGGCTCATAAAAATTATATCCTTTTATGTCGCCATAAAATCAAAATTGGAATTTTTTTGTGGCTTTTAGTTTTTCTTAGCTTTGGGGAAATTTATGCTAGTCAACTTCTAAACATCGACAAAATTAGCTTTAAGTAGAGTTCTTTCTCTTCTGGAAAACAGACTAATAATGTCGATGACTCATCCTGCACTACAATGATTTTTGTCCAATCAGATTCTCTCTATACTGACGATGTCCCGCCCCCTGATAACATATATAATGATAACAAATCATGGCTAGGACATAAGTAAGCTTATGGACCTATTTCACAGATTGTGATGACCTGTTTCCACAGTTATTAATATCATGAATCTAGCAGCTTTTTGTAATTTAATTTTAAAAAGTCATGTACATTTATAACACTATACTTTGTTTTATTGCCTTAGTATGAAATGTTGAATTTTTAAAAATGTTTTTAATTATATATTTTAATAAAAAACAAATATGCACATTTATAAAATATATATATACTTTGTGTGTCACTACTAGGGCTGCACGATAAATCGAAATGGAATCGAGATCGCGATTCGACAGAAGCTGCGATTGTCATGCGTTCATGGTGTGTGTGTGTTCACTGCTGTGTGTGTGCGCACTTAGGATGGGTTAAATGCAGAGCACTAATTCCTAGTATGGGTCACCATACTTGGCCACATGTCACATCACATCACTCACTCACTCACTTATTAAATCTGGTATTTTCACATGCTTTCAAATGGAGCAGCATTTACTTCACAGAGCCATAGTTCACTGAGAAGCTACACAAACAGCTGTTATTATCGCGAACGATTTCTTCGATTTCAGAATCATTAAAATCATCTGCGATTTTTTTGCGTAACTTGTCAGTGAACTACGGCTATGTGAAGTAAATGCTGCTCCATCTGAAAGCACGTGATGATGATTTACTGCTGATTACAGAACCGGCTTTTTTAACAAAATGCGCATGACAATCGCATTCGATTAATCATGCAGCCCTAGTCACTACCTTAGTATTTTTTTTTTATGTATTTTATTTTTTACAAATGTAAATACATTTATTATATATACATTTTGTTTTATTACTTTGGTATTAATTTTTTATTTTTTTTCTATTTATTTATTTTTTATAATATACATTTATAACATTATGCTTTGTGTTTTATTAGTTTGATTTATAATAAAAATTAAATATATAATTTTTTAAAATTGTTTAAACATTTAATGTACATTTATTACATTATGCTTTGTGTTTTATTGCCTTTGTATACATTTTTATTTTTTTATTTATTTTTTATTTTTATTTTAATTGTTTAAAAAATGTAAGTACATTTGTAATATTATACTTTGCATTTTATTATCTTGGCATTTTTTTTATTTGATTTTTTGTATTTTTGATATTTTAATAAATAAAACTTCATGTACATACCGTTATACTTTGTGTTTTATTACTTTGGTATATCTTTTTTTGTTTTTGCATTTTTTATATTTAAATTTAAAAAAAAATGTAATGTACATTTATAACATTATACTTTGTGTTTTATTAACTTGGTATTAAATAGAAAACTGGTTAACGCTGCTGCGTGAGTGTTTGCAATACAAAGGCTGAAGGGAGTGACGGCAAATTTGACATTTTCTTTCTTCTGACCAACATAATGAATCTCTCTATATTTTTTTTCCTCTTTTGAAAAGACATAAATACGCAAATATCAATTCTCATACATAAATATCTTGTTTTATTTTTTATTGGAGTAAATGGAAACGCTTCTGCTTCTGAGAACCAGAAATGTGAAAAGTGTCCATCGACTGTTAAAAAGGGTCCTTTATGTCCTCACAAAGCTTCCTGTATTAATGATTTCATAAGGGATTTTTGTGCACAAATAAATGCATATGTGACTAATTATCATTGGGGAAATTTTAAGACAAAACACAATCCATTTGTGAATCTTACCCTCTGAGTTGAGAGTGATGAGCGTTACGTTGTTGGTATTCTGAGATAACGGCTGGCCGCTGTTGGACACCGAATCGCTCGTTTCAGAGCCACTTTCCTGATCTTCCGGAACCTCTTCCTGGACGGGAACCTTCAGCACTATCGTCTTCTGCCTTCCTCGCCCAACAGTACTGCAATGAAAACATAACACAAATTACACCGAGAGATGTTATGGAGAGCTTGTGCAACAGATCCAGAAATTGTCTCCTGTATATATCTGAATACAGTATGCATACATTTGCACACACAGGAGACATTTTTATTTCATTTATGCACAAAAACACAAACTCACTTGCTGAGCAGGTTCTCTAAAGAGTCTGAGGCGCGCGGTGAAGTTTCCTCCCGCGTCTTCGGCCGGTCTCCACTCACTATAACGTTTGTCTGAGGAACAACACTGACAGCAAACACTCACTGTTACTGTCTGACACTGTCAAAACTTTATATCACTGCTGGTTCTCAACTGGTGGGAACAACACAAAAAAGATCTGTTCTAATAATATTACATAGTGATGCTCGATATATATATATATATATATATATATATATATATATCGATACTATAGCCATTTTTTTATGTATTTATTTTAATGAATTTATATGTTTGTTTGTTTTTTTTACATTTAGATTACCTTAACCGTCATCCAACACTCAAAGTTAATCTCTACAAAAAAATATATATAATAATAATTTAATAACACTGTTAAATGCCAATCTCAAAATTATGATTAGAATCTTACAATTTCTAAATTCATTTGCAGAATTTAAAATGATTTAGCTT